GTGCACCATTTACATGAAATCGGACGAAACTATATATGGGAGCTATATCTAAATCTGGACCGATTTTCACGAAACTTGGCAGACATCATTCTAGACCTAAATGATTAGGCTGTACCAAATTTCGTGCAAATCGAAAGATATATAGCGACTTTGGTGCACCATTTACATGAAATCGGACGAAACTATATATGGGAGCTATATCTAAATCTGGACCGATATTCTCGAAACTTGGCAGACACCACTCGAGGCTTAATTCAGTACGTCATGCAAAATTTCGTGCAAATCGAAAGATATATAGGGACTTTGGGGCACTATTTACATGAAATCGGACGAAACTATATATGGGAGCTATATCTAAATCTTGACCGATTTTCACGAAACTTGGCAGACATCATTCTAGACCTAATTCATTATGCTGTACCAAATTTCGTGCAAATCGAAAGATATATAGGGACCGTTTACATTAAATCGGTTAAATATATATATGGGAGCTATATCTAAATCTGAACCGATTTTTCCCAATTTCAATAGGGTTCGTCCTTGGGCTAAACAAATGAGCTGTGCCAAATTTCATCCAATTCGGATCATAAATGCGACCTGTACTTTGCTCACAAAAATACATGGACAGACAGACGGACGGACGGACATGCATTAATCGACTTAGAAAGTGATTCTATGCATATTCTCAAAAGGAACCATGTGTCTATCTCGTTTCCTTTTGCCTGTTACAAACATATGTACAAAGACATAATACCCTGTACCACAGTGTGGTGAAGGGTATAAAAAGCAGTTAGGAGAGTTCAAAAGTCGGACGGCGCCGACTATATGATACACTTCACCACTTTGTGCACATATCCTGTTGATAGAAGCCACATAGCATCCTTGGATGACCAAATGTGATCTACATACATAGATATATGAACCAATAAAAAACTATACATATACCACACTGAATTCTATAAAAAAAATTGCATGTCAATCGGGCAGACTTGAATTTTTAGTGTAACATTTGTATGAAATCCGGAAAATTTTATATGGGGGGGATATATGTAAATCTGAACCGATTTCAACAAACCTTCACACACACACACACACATCAAACTGGGCTTAATTCTCTATGTTGTGCAAAATTCTTTCTACCAATATTGGGTGTTTGGTGCACCATTTACATAAAATCGGACGAGACTATATATGGGAGCTATATCTAAATTTGAACCGATTCCAACAAAACTTCACAGAAGTCAAACTGGAGTAAATTTCGTACGCTGTGGAACATGTTGTCCCAATCGGTCAAATATTTTCAGTTTGGTGCACCATTTACCTAAAATCGGACGAAACTATATATGGGGGCTATATCTAAATCTGCACCGATTCAAACAAGACTTCGCATACATCAATCTGGGTATGATTCAGTACTCGGTGCAAAATTTTGTCCAATCGGACCAATATTGGCAGTATGGTGCTCCATTTACGTAAAATCGGACGAAACTATATATGGGGGTTATATCTAAATCTGAATCGATTTCAACAAATCTTGGCATATGTCAATCTAGACCTAATTCAGTACTCAGTGCAAAATTTTGTGCGAATCGGTCTAAATTTGACTCTTTGGTGTTCCATTTAAATAAAATCGGACGAAACTATATATGGGAGATATATCTAAATCTGAACCAATTCAAACAAAACTTCGCATACATGAATCTGGGCATAATTCAGTAATCTGGGCAAATGTTTGTCCAATCGGGCAAATATTTTCAGTTTGGTGCACCATTTACCTAAAATCGGGCACTATATCTATATGGGAGCTATATCTAAATCTTAATCAATCTAGACCTAATTCAGTACTCAGTGCAAAATTTTGTGCGAATCGGCCAAAATTTGACTCTTTGGTGCTACATTTAGATAAAATCGGACGAAACTATATATAGGAGCTATATCTAAATCTGAACCGATTCCAACAAAACATCGTATACATCAATCTGGGTATAATTCAGTACTCTGTGCAAAATTTTGTCTAAATCAAACCAATATTGGCAGTATGGTGCTCCATTTACATAAAATCGGACGAAACTATATATGGCGGCTATATCTAAATCTGAATCGATTCCAACAAAACTTGGCATATATCAATCAAGAATCTGTGCAAAATTTTGTGCGAATCGGCTAAAATTTGACTATTTGGTGATCCATTTGCATAAAATCGGACGAAACTATATATGGGAGCTGTATCTAAATCAGAAGCGATTTCAACAAAACTTCGCATACATCAATCTGGTCTCAAGTCAGTACTCTAAGCAAAATTTTGTCTCAATCGGACCAATATTGACAGTATGGTGTTCCATTTATATACATCAATCTGGACTCAAGTTAGTACTCTGTGCTAAATTTTGTCTCAATCGGACCAATATTGGGAGTTTGGTGCACCATTTAAAACTATATATGGGAGCTATATCAAAATCTGGACCGATTTTCTCCAATTTCAATAGGGTTCGTCCCTGGGCCAATTAAGTGGCATGTGTCAAATTTCATCCAAATGGGATCATAAATGCGACCTGTACTTTGTTCATAAAAATACATGGACGGACGGACGTGCATAAATCGACTTAGAAATTGATTCTATGCATATTCTCAAAAGGAACCATGTGCCCATCTCGTTTCCTTTTGTCTGTTACAAACATATACACAAAGACATAATACCCTGTACCACAGTGTATACCCTTCACCACACTGTGGTACAGGGTATTATGTCTTTGTGTATATGTTTGTAACAGACAAATCGGGTTCTTGATGTGGAAACATTGTAAATTATCTGCTAGTATATTTATATTTTTAAAAATTAAATACTAAATTACAGATACTAAAGTTGGAAGAATATGCTAGGTACTTGTATTTGCAAAAATTGACCTATATCGGGCATTTTCAGGGGCTGGAAAATGAGACTAAAACCCTTGAAGCACCAGAATTTAGAGCGGACCCTTATATGGGGCTATGTTTAAACATGGTCGTATAATAATTAATATACAACATTTGAGCTTTTTGGATTGGAAAATGCGGCTAGCATTTTCCCCCCTTTGCCTGGGGCTATGACAAAACATAGACCTATATTGATCACTTTCTGTACATATGCATGTCAGCATTCAGAAGAATTATCGGGAGAAAAAGGAGAGAGGAGAAACGTATTTTCAGAAAAAACAAGAAAAACGTGAGCGTGAGCAAATCGAGATGTGCAGGGATCAGGATGAAGTCCGACAATTCTACCAACGGGTAAAACACCAAACCGAAGGCTATGGTGCGAAAACATCCTTCTTTAGAAATCAAGATGGAAACCTGGTGACAGATACATACAGCGTGTTGAGGATCTGGAAGGAGCATTTTGCAAAGCTTCTAGTATGTACAAGTAACGATGAAGAAGATACCCAGAACTAATTAGAAATGACGGTATAGAGTATATACCACCTAACCGAAATGAGGTGAGAATATCAATTAGTCGGCTGAAGAATAATAAAGCAGATGGTGCCGATGGGCTATCAGCCGAACTATTCAAACCCTGTGGTAGATGCCGGTCAGGAGCATGCACCAACTCATAAGTACAATTTGGCTAGAAGAATGCATGCCCAATGACTGGAACCTCAGCATCCTGTGTCCCGCGCATAAAAAAGGAGACAAGACGATATGTGCCAACTATAGAGGAATAAGCCTGCTTCCCATCGCATATAATGTGTTATCCAGCGTGCTGTGTGAACGACTGAAGCCAGTGGTCAATGACATTATTGGACCATACCAATGCGGCTTCAAACCTGGCAAATCCACCATTGACCCGATTGGCAAAGACCCACGAAAACACATCGAAACATTCCACCTATTCGTCGACTATAAAGCCGCATTCGACAGCCCTACCCGTTCAGAAGTGTCTGCATTCGGCATTCCTGCAAAATTAATACATATATGCAGGATAACAAATAACTGGCATTAGGTCAGTAGTTAAAGTATGAAAGGACCTATCTGATCCCTTTAATATGAGTATTCAGACAAGATGACAGTTTGTCGTGTGATCTTGCTGGAAAATGTCATACGAGAGGCAAATGTGAACAGAAATGGTACTCTGAATACCAAAGAACACATGTTACTCGCCGACGCCGACGACATCGATATATTGGATCGAACATTGCGAGCGGTTACAGCCACCTTTGAACAAATTGAGAAGGAATCTGCCAAAGAGGGTCTGGTCCCGTTCTGTTATATGAATCTGGAGCATGAATATCTGCTCAAGCAGATGAGGCAACTCTTGGAGTGTTTGAGAGAAAAAATCTCCGACGATCTGCGTTGACGGTGAATATCGCCGTCGAGTGAACCGTGAGTTGTACCATCTATTCTCGGACATCGACATTGTCAGACTTATCGATCTGGATCGACTACGTTGCCTAGGCCATGTTGTGAGAAAGGATGAAGATGCCCCAGCTCAAATGGCATATAAAAGCGAACCAGCTGATGGTTCACGCAAAAGGGAAGGCCACGAATTAGGCCACAACACGCCTGGAAATCTTTTTTAAGCTCTTCTCTTGGAACGAGAGTTCTGTCACAAGACAGCTAAACTTGTAGACGCTTCCGAACGTAGCATTCAGCTATGCTTCCCGCAGGAAAATATAATAATAATAGCACTCCACTGGAAGTTATTCTTATGGAAACCCATTAGGTATTCTTATATTAGAGAATTACAGAAAGTCTTTTTAATGTCTTCTTTTAGAAGACCACAATGCCTTCTTTTATAGAACGAGAGAGTCTTATAGACAACTATATATTTAAACATCCCCTTCTGAAATATTGTCTTTTGATTACTTGCTGAAACAAATTTATTAAATATTCTCAATTTTTTTTAGACTTAAAACAATTAAACACTAGTCTTAACAAATAAATATATAAGGGAAGATTTAAATAATATAATTATCATAAAAAATTAAATAATTTAATGTTAAAATTGCAATTCTTTTCAAAAACTAAACTCATTTACGTTTAATACCACCCAAGGTTTTGATGCCAGTCATTTGGGGAACTTTTGCAGCGGCCTTTTTTGCCTCTTCAATGGCATGTAAGACACGGCGTGGTTCTGTTAAGAACCATATCCACAACAATTGGCTATAACGCCATAATTTGTCCTTTTCCTGAAATTAAAATTGGAAGACAAGATAGATTAGGAGAAATATACCATTGAGGTGGAAATAAGTATGTGGAGATGTTTTGTAGTTATCGTTATTTTTTTTATTATTTAATATTCTCTCCAACTTACCAAACGTTCCGTGACATTCTCATGAAATTCTGTACGCAATTGCCTTAACTGTTTATCAATGCGATACTGTTGAGTTTTAACATTAAAAATTGGTCTTAAATAGTGGACATTTTCAAACATTGGAGCATTGACTGGACTGTCGTAAACGAAAGGACGTAAAATGCTTTCAATGCGATTACTAGAAAAATAAATAAACATGAAATACATTAACATAATTAAATATTGAACACAATAAAAAAAACTAGTTGCTGTTTAAAGAACAACAACAAAAATAACGTCCACATTATACATACATTTCTTTCAATTTTTCTATGGCCGATGAATATGGTTTACGATTTAATAATCCTTGCAGTGAATAGGCCATTAAACGTTTAAATTTTTCATATTCATAGAGGCACGCCTTGACCTCACAGCGTAGCTGCTGTTGTAAATGTTGACCCAACATTTGGGCCAGCTGTTGAATAAATTCTCCTGTTAAACCACGGGATTGTGAATTCTTCATATGCTGAATACGCATAGCACAACGCTGTGCGTCACTGGTTAATTGTTCGGTGTTATCAAAACGATTTCGTTTCTTTTCCATATCCATTTGTATGGTCATCCAAATTAATTCTGCATTTGATAGGGCCTCGGATATAATCTTCCTTAGATTACGATCATTTTCATGCCGTTTATGGGCTCTTTCCAATTTCTGCTTTGTATTTTCGTAGAGTATCAATTCGACTGTTTGTTGGGCCTTCTGCTGTATCTGATGTTGCATATCAACCATCAACGTTTGATGGGCAATTTCTAGACGTGATTTTGCCTGAGCCAACTCGTGAGTTTCCCTTTCCATATCGGTTAGACTGATGACATGAATCTGAGTGAGATTTAAGGCATCAATGGCACATCTGAGAGCATGACTTTTGGCCTTTTCCATAATATAAGCTAGGGTGTATTTTTCAATGCTAGACGAGAGAGATAAATATAAAAGAAAAGATAGGGGATTAATGCAATTTCTTAACAAATATCAGAAAAACTTTTTTTGGTGAAAATAAACTGTGGTGGTCAACACACCTCTACCCATGTTTTCAGATCATTGCCATCATATTATTGACATATTGACACTACAGACTGAGCTTGACACAAAATTTACGACTGGAACAACAATCTCCTCCGATGTCGTATAAGACATTTTCTGACCGACAAGGTTCCAAAACAATGTACAATGTGTTGCATTTCCATTCGAAGCGTTGGGTCTGAACAAAAAGCTAATCGTTAGCCACACACCTTGTTTCTGAAGCGTGTTAATGAAGATCCCAGGTCACCACAAAGTTTTTTGGACATTTGTACTAGAACGGTACGAAAAATACTAATGGTGGTACCATTTATATTTGGTGAACCTGCAGAGCTAGAACTCTTAAATTTTAAATGAGGGTCACTGATGGAGTGTAGAACTATAAGTATCCGAAAAGTACTAATATGTACTAAATTTGGTACAATTTCGTAGCAAGTGAATGAATAGAACTATAAATTTGAAATTTGGAATGTGAATTGAAAAGTTGGTACAATTTTTAATTAAAGGTAAAAATTGAACTGGAATTCTGAAATTTGAAACTGAAATTACCGCCGGAATGTAGGATTGGAATATGTGCGTATTTTTGGAATTTTTTTTTTTTGTTATGTGTCGAAAAGTACTAAATCGTACTATAATTGGAACAATTTGAATAGGGCTGGGATCCTGAAATTTGAAGTAAGGATCATTGTTGGGGTGTAGGATTGGGGTATGTAGGACTTTTTGGAAATTCATACTAATGTGTACTAAATGGTACCAAATTTGGATTTGAGTGAACCGATAGAGCTGAAATCTTGAAATTTGATGTTAGGATGGGTGTATGATTGGGCATTATATAATTTTTTGGAAATTCGTACAAATGTGTACTAAATTTTGTACCATTTAAATTTTGGGTGAAAAAACACAGCTGGAATCCTAAAATTTGGAGTTAGGATCACTGTTGGGATGTTGCATTGGGATATGTAGAATGTTTTTGAAATTTGTACTAATGTGTACCAAGTGGTACCAAATGTGGATTTGGGTGAACCGATACAGCTGGAACACAGAAATTTGGAAATAACGTTACTGTTGGAGTGTAAGATTGGGGTACTAAATTTGTTACAATTTAAATTTTGGGTAAACTGATAGATCTGGTATCCTGAAAATTGACATTCGGATCACTGTTAGGGTATAGGATTGGATTTTGTAGAAAGTTTGGAAAATTCGTATTAATATGTACTAAATGGTACAAAATTTGAATTTAAGTAAAACGATAAAGCTGGAATCCTGACATGTGGCGTTAGGATTACTGTTGGGGTGTTGGATTGGGATATGCAGAACGTTTTGAAAATGTCTAGGAATAAATTTTGAGCAATGGTTAAATCGATCTCGAACACTGAAAAAAAGAGTGACAGAATCTCCATCACGTTTAACGGTGACTTAACCGAAGGGGTGCGCAAGTTAATTTATCGAAATACATTACTAATTCAACTACATGACTCGGTAGCCTAGTAACTGCCACAAGTCTCAATTTGTCATAACATAATAATAGCAATTATAAATCGCCAGTAGAGAAACACTTCACACAGTGGAGTTGGATATAGCTGTCGCTGACACGCTGACAATACCTGACCGAGTTGAATTCGGGTGATCCACATCCTCAACTTTTCTCTACATTTCGTGGAAACCTTGGGGATCTTCGGCTCCTCCGTGGACCAAAATTGATCGGGATAGTGCCCTTAAATTAATAAACTTCGATGGGTAAAAAGAGTGAAAGAAAAAAGTTACGGTGCAGGGAGTTAATAACCCAGTACCGGCTGTACAAGCGATTGTGATCCGGCTGTTCTAGGTGTCTTGGCACATGCAGCTGTATCTGCTACAAGCGCATCAATTTCAAACACGAATAACGTTGACGAACCGGCAATTCAATTGGCTAACGAGCAAGTCAAGACTGATGGACATTAGTCTTTGACTGACAGGACTGTAGTTCTGGGAGGGGACGTCCTACACGGGGTGAGAAGCGAATTTCTTTTCGGAGAGGGAAGTTCACCTCATCAGGGGCAAGATGAGATTCGTAATGAAGTTCGAAAGAATTTATCCGCACACTCTCGATCGTGAGCTCCAGATGGAGAGGATCTGCCTCCCGAATCTAACTACTCGATCAAAAATCTCCAAAGAGACATCTGAATCGAGCCCACTGTCTATGACAAGGGTGCGAAGCCGACTTCTGATCCGAAGCCGAGCTTTAGGACTAACCCGAGTCAAAAGGAAAAGGCTATTCCACACAAACTGTCATCCATAAGGGTGATCAAAGTGTGGAGGGCTCTGTCTCAAAGCCAGTGGTCTACCAATATTTTCAGTAAAGAACTTTCACCAACAGCCAACATTTCACAACAAAAACAGAGTGGGGTTTGTCTTCTTCCTTCCTAGTGTTCCACGTCTTTTAGATGACACGAACCGTTTGATCAAAAATCTCCAAAGAGACATCTGAATTGAGTGAAGTAGTGAAATCGGTGAAGCCCACTGTCTATGACAAGGGTGCGAAGCCGACTTCTGATCCGAAGCCGAGCTTGAGGACTAACCCGAGTCAAAAGGAAAAGGCTATTGAGAACATCCCGACACAAACTGTCATCCATAAGGGCGATCAAAGTGTGGAGGGCTCTGTCTCAAAGCCCACCAGTGGTCTACCAATATTTTCAGTAAAGAACTTTCACCAACAGCCTACATTTCACAACAAAAACAGAGTGGGGTTTGTCTTCTTCCTTCCTAGTGTTCCACGTCTTTTAGATGACACGATTATACTGTTTATTAAATGGACTGTGTATATGAGACTGTATATGGTCTATTCGATCATGTTCACTCCAAAAAATCTGAGGTAACCACCATTAGAAGTATTGGAATATTTCAAGTACTTAATGCATCTCATTTGTACTCACCCCTTCTTCAATTTGCCCAACTTTTCAATGGTTTCTTGGTTTTCAGTCAAACTTGTTTCCAATTCAATAAATTCTTGGATTTTGAAATTCTCCTTGATATACAAGGAAAAATATTGGGTAAATGATTCACATTTCAAGAAATATTGATCCAAAGGTAATTGATGCATGAACAAAGGGGGAGATTGCTAAAAATTGATAAAAAAAAACACTCAAATTAATAAAAAAAAATAATTTTTACAAATGAACCTACTTACCATTTTGGAAAATGTCTTCAGCACTTCTTCACATTTCTTGTGATTTTCCATTTCCATATCCTCCAGTTGCTTCACCTTTGTTTGACACTGTGACAATAATTCCTTTTCTTTATTTTTCAAGACATTATAACGCTCTTCCAGGCGACTAAATTCACAATTCAAATTGTTTTTTGTTTCTCTAAAAAAAATGTCTTCAATAGTATTAATCTATTTGAATTTGTTCAATGCTTCTTACCTCATATCTTCCACCATAACATTGTAGTTATTATATGCCATTTCCATTATATCATATTCCTGTTGTAAATTATCCACTTCATCTTTGGTGTGCGAAAACAATCCCATATATTCCTTTTCCAAATCGTCCAGACGTGGTTTCCTATCTGCCGCACTCAAATATTCATTACGTTTAACATACTCCTCATGATCCAAAATTTCATTTTCCAATAGAATATTTGAATCCGTAATATTGTTGGCAAAGAAATCAAAAAATTTATGGAAGCGTTCATCGTAGAATATCCACTGATTGGAAGAGTCAAAGTCCAGCTTTTTGAAAACTTCCATATTCTATAATGGGGATTAATAACGATTTGTTGGATTATAATACAGAATTATGGTTTCATGTTTGTTCCCTTACATTTATAATATCACCCATTTCGAAAGAAATACAATAATTTATGCTTTAAAATAAATCAACAATTTCTAAAATTGGGAGGTGGCGCGTTGCAAATTTAAAAACAGAACATAAATTGTCAGATGTCATATTTTGTTTACTCTCTTCTTCGTCGCCTGTGTGTTGGGTGTAAATACGCCCTTTTTACATTGTTTATATGTATCAAATATGTTATTGTGTGCAGAAAGATGTATGCTCTGTTCCAGTATTAAAAAAAGTGATAAAAAGTTTTAAATTTTTAAAGAGAAAATTGGAAAACATTTCGATTAATAAACTTTTTAGGTTCTGTAATACAGAGAATAAACAACAACTGACATTTGACAATTTATGCTTTGTTTTCTATAATTTATTTTAAAGCATTAATTGTTTTATTTATTTCGAAGCTGGTATTTCAGAGCTGCCCTTCCTTGTATTATTGTACCATGTTACAGAATATATGTTATCAAAAAATATATCAGTCATAACAAAATGAACAGAGATAAACGCCTATGTTAACCAGTAAAAGTTTTTAAAACACAGCTAAAATTTTGTTGTTCAAATCCGGACCCTTAAAATCTGTTGAACATAACAATATTTTTTAAATAGAATAAAACGGCATATACATTAGAACTTTTTACCGGGTTAACCTACTTTATGAGGATTTATTTGACATATGTGCAAAGGAATTGACAATTGAAACCCACTGGATTAACGAAATCCGGTTAAATGTAAACGTACTATAATACACATTTAATCTATTTTAGCCTCAAAGAAATAAAAAAATTACAGTTTGTCCAACATTCAAGATCTAAAAATTGTACCAAATTTAGTACACATAAGAACAAATTCACAAAACTAGCTACATACCTCAATACTACACTCTAACTACTATTTTTTTATTATTCCAGCTCTAAATTCAAATTGTATAAAATTTAGTACCATATCCATAAGAAAAAATTTCCAAAACTACATCCATACCCCCAATCCTATACTCCAACAATAATCTTATTTCCAAATTTCAGTGTTCCAACTCTATCAGTTCATCTGAATTCAAATTGTACCAAATTAAGTACCATTTAGTACACATTAGTAGAAATTTCTAAAATTTCCTACGTACCCCAATCCTTCACCTCAACAGTGAACTTAACTCCATATTATAGGATTCTAGCTCTATTACTTACTTACTTAACTGGCGTGTTACAGAACGGTTCTTCCATAAGCCAAGCTTAAAAACGATTTCCAAGCGCGTCGGTCTTGTGCGCAAATCCACCAATTTGGAAGACCACTTTCCAAGACGTTGTTTTCTACTTGGTCTTTCCATCCAATTCGTGGCCTTCCCCTTCTACGGCAACCATCAGTAGGTTCGTTTTTATATGCCTTTTGAGCTGGGGCATTCTCATTCATCCGCACAACATGGCCTAGCCACCGTAGTCGCTGCAGCTCAATGCGACTGACAATGTCGATGTCCGCGTATAAATTGTAGAGCTCGTGGTTCATTCGACGCCGATATTCACCGTCGACGCAGATCGACCCGTAGATCTTTCGGAGATTTTTTCTTTCAAACACCCCAAGAGCTGCCTCATCTGCTTGTGCAAGTACCCATGCTTCTGATCCATATAATAGCACGGGTAGTATCAGCGTCTTGTAAAGTGTGAGATTGGTCTGGCGGGAGGTGACCTTGCTTTTGAGTTGTTTGCTCAGACCATAGTAGCATCGGTTAACTACTTTGAAGCTGTAGTTCTCAAATTGCACAGTTGGTCTTCTAGCCGTTTACTGCCAGACCCAGTTTGGCAGACTCCTTTTCAATTAGTTCAAAGGTGGCTGTTACCGCTCACAATGTTCGACCCATTATATCGATGTCATCGGCGTAGGCGAGTAACATGTGTGCCATTTCCTTTTCCAGTAGGATGTTAAAAAGATCACACGACAAACTGTCACCTTGTCTGAATCCTCGTTCGGTATTGGTTCATCCAAAACCAAACGAAAAAAGTTTAATTACACCAAATTTAGTACACATAAGTAACAATTTCTCAAACTACTAACACACCTCAATTGTGCAATGCAGTAGTAATCTTATTTCCAATTTTTTTAGTGTTCTAGTTCTATCGCTTCAACCAAATTCAAATTGTGTCAAATATAGTATCATTTAGTACTTTTCGTGCACATAAGTACAAATGTCCAAAACTATCTACCCAATTCTACACTCCGACAGTAATGTGTATTTGAAAATTCCGGAGTCCAGCTCCATTCGTTCCTCCAAATGCAAATTGTACACAATTTAGTACCGTTTAGTACTTTTTGTTTACATTAGTATACACCTCCGAAAACCAACTCTTTTTATCAACCCTACTTCTCAACCTTGATTCGCATTTCAAATTTTAAGTTTAGCTCTATGTAGCAAATTTAGTACATTTTAGTACTTTTCGGATAGTTATAGTTCTAATTCCTAAAAACCCTTTGGCACATCTATCCTTCACTCCATTAGTGAACCTCATTCCAAAATTTAAAAGTTTTAGCTCTACCGGTTTGCCAAATACAAATGGGACATTATTTAGTTCTTTTTGTGCCGTTCCAAAGGCGCAGTCTTATCTGACACCTTCGGACTAATAGTACTTTTACATTTAACCAGATTTCGTTAACCCTGTGGGTTTAAATTGTCAATTCCTTTGCATATATGTCAAATAAATCCTCATAAAGTAGGTTAACCCGGTAAAACGGCATATACATTAGAACTCCGGTTAAATGTAAACGTACTATTAAAAGTTCTAATGTACATGCCGTTTAAGAGTGACCCTCACCACAAATTTCAAGATTCATGCTTCAGTCGTTTCGTCAGGGCATTGATAAGTCATTAATTGTAGGTGTACATTGTACCGGATTTCGTTAACCCTGTGGATTTAAATTATCAATTCCTTTAAATATATTAGTACGTTTACATTGTGCCGGATTTCGTTAAACCAGTGGGTTTAAATTGTCTATTCCATTGTGTATATTTCAAACAAATCCGCATGAAGTAGGTTAACCCGATAAAAACTTCCAATGTAAATTCCGTTTATGTCAAATAAATAATCAAAAATTTAGTTAATACGGTAAAAAGTTCTAATGTAAATGCCGTTTATGTCAGTCAAATACTTTACTGTTTTTTTTAATATAAGTTTGATAAAAGAATCCACTACCTACAATGTTGCTATTTTGTTATTGACCTCAAGTTGTCCTATCAGAGCCATGTTGGAAAGGCTAGTACACACTATCAGTTTGGAATGACAGCTTTTTTTTATCGATTACTGACTTTCCAACAAATATATTTTCGTTGATGCCTGATGAATAAGAAACATGAGCTGTCATACTATTAAACAAACAAAATTTGGACCAAATTGTCATTCAAAAGTGATAGTGTGTACACCGCTTAAGTACTGAAATAATTTGAAACAAAAACAAAACACACGTACACAAACCTAGAGCTTTTACCACGAGAAACTTTAATCAACCATCAATTTTATCCAGTACAAACGTGCTGTAACATCACAATGCTAGCGAGGCCGATATTACACACAACATATGGTTATCAGAGCTGCTATGAAAAGTAGTGCATCAAGTACCCATTTTTACAACTATGCACAAACAATCCATGCAATGACAAGTAATTTTCTGCAAAGGTCCAAACAGTTTTTGCCGATTTTTCCCAAATAAATTCCAATAATTTATTGAAATAGCCTTTGAAATATATAAATAAATCAATATGGTGAGTATTTAAGCATTACATAGCTTTATTTTCTCTTTATGTATAAATAACATAAATGCTAGGAGACATTTGCAATGTTTTTGTTTCAATTTTTGCAAATCAAGAGGAGTAAATGATGATTTGCTAAAAACAACAATTTAGTTTTTGCATTAATGTTTTTTTTTTCTCTTTAATATAGGCCCGTCGTTATGATTCTCGTACCACAATTTTCTCGCCTGAAGGCCGCCTTTACCAGGTCGAATATGCCATGGAGGCTATTTCACATGCCGGCACCTGTTTGGGTATTTTAGCTGAGGATGGTATTCTTCTGGCTGCCGAATGCCGCAACACCAACAAATTGTTGGACCCTAGCATTTTCGCTGAAAAAATCTATAAGCTGAACGATAACATGGTGTGTTCGGTGGCTGGCATCACATCCGACGCCAATGTGCTGACCAATGAATTGCGTATCATTGCTCAACGTTATCAATTCAGTTATGGTGAATCCATGCCCTGTGAACAGTTGGTATCCTATTTGTGCGACATCAAACAGGCCTACACCCAATACGGTGGCAAACGACCATTCGGTGTTTCCATTCTCTATATGGGCTGGGATAAACATTATGGCTATCAATTGTATCAATCCGATCCCAGTGGTAATTATGGTGGCTGGAAGGCAACCTGCATTGGTAATAATTTCGGTGCAGCCATATCACAGCTGAAACAAGAATTAAGTGAAAATGAAAAAATCACCTTGGAACAGGCAAAAGATTTGGCTGTTAAGGTGTTGAGTAAAACTTTGGATACAACCAAATTGACTTCGGAGAAAATCGAAATGGCCACACTGCAGAGAATCAATGACAAGACAGAAATTAAGATCCTAACCAAACCCGATGTTGAGAAGTTAATTGAAAAATACAATAAAATGGAAGCTGAAGCAGAGGCTGCAAAGAAGGAAAAACAAGCTGCCCAAAAACCTTAAATTGTGGATACATTTTATTAAAGTAAATTATGGTTTTTTTAATGGAAAAATTTTTAATTTTAAGAGATTTTTCTTTGATGGAAATAAAATTTCTGTAAAAAGTTATGAAATGTTGATAAAATAAAATCTTTGTTGATGAGTCGAATGGAGTATTTTAGGCGAAATGAAGAAATTACTTATAGACGGGTTGAAGGTAGTCTTCATAAAGGAGCTGAAATATTTTTTAATCACGAGTTGAGAGATGTCTCTATAAACGAGATGTAGGAACAACTGATAATTATCAGAAAGTAGTACTTATAAAGCACAGTGGCAGAGAGTCTTAGTATGGGCATTTCCGAAAAAAGGAAGAAGTCATTTTATACGAGCTAAGACGCAGATAGTGTTTTGTAGGCAGCTCAAACAGCATGCAGACTTTATGGACGAGCTGAATATAATTGAGTCTATGTCGAGCTGAAATATTTCAACGTTATCCAATTTTTCTATATGTCACGCATTTTCGTCTCCCTTAATTATAAAATGGAATTTAATATGTTTTACATTTTTACGAGGGAATCCGATCTTTCTCAGGGTGAATAAAAACTAGGCCACTCAATTAAATTCTTGTTCACAATGATACCTAGATTACCTTAATCGGTGTTAAAGCCAATAACTGGCTTAAGTCAAGTTTAAGCCCCGGTTTGATATTGTGGGCGTAACAACGGTAAAAAATAAAAACAAATTGTTTTCACAACATAGTAGATTTGTTGGCTAAATATATCCCAGGTCAAACATTATTTATATTTGTCTATATTTGTCTATTGCATTATATTTCAAAAAACTCTAAACTGCGAATAAAAATAACATGGCGGGTAATGTGGACCAGTATGTGTGGGTAATGAGAATCAGTAAGTTAAAGGTAGGTTGTGGATTGGTTGTGATAAATTTCAATTTAATGCACTCTTGGGTAACAATGAATGCAAAAATATATGGGTTCATGTTTTAGAATAGCCCCCATTTAAGGGTAGCGCCCCATTTGCGGTATTTTGAAGGTCCTTGCTTCATTATCCATCCGAAGTACCTGAAATTTCGCATATAGAGTTTTCAGAGGATAGAATATCACCTCGCATATTAAATGCGCCCATGTTTCGAACTCGTCCTCATGTAAAGTTTCCAATTTTTATAGTGGCTTCAAAAATGAATAAAAATTAAACATCACCGATTGTAATTACAGAGTAAACGTATATTTTTGTTAAAGAAAACAAGAAAACCACATAACTTCTTTATATTCGAGAAAAACAAAGTGTTCGACTATTTTGCAAAAACGTTCGAGTATTGTGCTTAAAAATGCTCAAATCACACTTTTACAATCAGAGCTACATTTTTTACTACTAAATTTTCAACATTGCTATTATTTATTAAAAACCAAGTTTGATGATTGTTTTCACTAATTAGGAAAACATTTATCAAGGCGGCATTGACATATTTCAAGCATTTGCTTAGATATGTGGGGTGGTCCACATTAGACGCCTGGTCCACATTACCCGAAGTTACTCTACTGATTTTTTTCTCATGATTTTTTAAATTCACTAAGCAAGTGATTATTTCAAAGTAATTGAATTGCTGATTACAAAAATGTAATCTTCTTATCGAATATGTTCAAGTATATACATCCTCTAGATAAAATTTAGGTATTTTTATGGCCCCAAGTCAATAAATACTTCGAATTCGCCTCCCTGTTAACCTTATGAATAAACCTTGGTTTGAAGAATAAAGAACGTTTTTTGAAAGACATTTTGAATTTTTATCCTGTTATGGTTTGTATCAAAATGTTGACCGCAAGAGAAGACTAAGGCATGAATTCGACTCCCTGTTATCTTTATGAATAAATCTTGGCCCCAATCAGCCCTATTGTGTAAAAGCAATAGGGCTGCTACAACAACAACATGAATTCGACTCCCTGATAACTTTATGAATAAATCTTGGTCCCAATCAAACGATTTTCTACCGGGCCTTATATTTGACTTGTTCCCAAATTATGTTGTGTGATCATCCCTTATATTCTGTGATCATCTATCGGCGTCGTCTATACAAATTGTGAACGCCGTTACACATTTATCAATTAGCCGCTTTATTCTTTCCACAACGAATAGGGATTTATAGTTGATGTTAATAATCGATTTGCTTTCCTTGTCAATTTAAAACGATATCGGCTTTGATCGATAGATAATTCCCAACAAACCAAAACGCTATAAAACAAGTTTGTAACAAACTTACTATCATAATAGTACGTTTACATTTAACCGGATTTCGTTAACCCAGTGGGTTTCAATTGTCAATTCCTTTGAATATGTGTCAAATAAATCCTCATAAAGTAGGTTAACCCGGTAAAAAGTTCTAATGTATATGCCGCTTAAGTCTTAATCTTAGAAAACTGTTATGATTACTCTTGCGAAAGACAATTTAATAATTTTAGAATAAAGAAAATTGAACCCTTGTGATAATATTTCTAGTCGGTAGCCTGAAACAAGCGAGGTCGTGTTCATGTTTCAAATAAACTTATCTTCTAAGATTATTATAAGTTCTTTGTTTTTTTTGTTTACATGTTTATTAATATTTAAGAAAAATATTTTCGCCCTTGGATTGTTATCCTCACACAATCCGATAGAAATTGCAGCATCTATAAAATTAGAAAGTAAGTTAAATAAAAGCTTATTTTTCTATTCACTTAGGATGGGCTAATGAAATGGTTTATTGGGTTGGTCTTAAATTTTAAAATCTTGTATGGGTTCATATCGAACTGCTCCCACACACAAAAAGTGCTAAAATCTTTTGAATTTAGAAAATGGCAAACCTGTTTATGGGAAGTGTTTTAAAATACCTATCAAAGAAGTGGTGCGATTCTGAAATTTTGAATGTTGAAAGAAATTTTAAATAAACACAAACAATTGTTGTGTCTGTTACTTTTATTTCACGGAAGATGCAGCTAAATACAGAGTTGCTTGTTTGTTATGAATCTACAAATTTTTCCAATTTAATAATGGTAACCCTTTTTAATTTGTAACTCATGAAAAATGAAAAATGTAACTCATGAAAATTGCTCTTAAGATTTAACCATGGTTGTTACATATTTTATTTATAAGTTTTAGAGGCAGGGAACTTCAAAATATTTATAAATATAAATTATTTAGCAACTGTTGCCACTGAACACATAATTGAAGGAATATAGTTTCATTTAAATTTTGAAATCTGAATACTGTCAAAGGCAAATTTATGAAAAAATTGAAAACATATGACTGTATGAGAATACCTTGTATAATTATGCCATGAGTATTTTAGTATATTAAGTGGAGTATTATAAGTGGAGAAAACATGTCCATCATATAAACATGCTAGTTAATTTACATGGTATATTGAGCTATTAGAATCATGCATAAATTTAACCAATCACTACAGAAAACTATAGGTTTCACCCGGAACATTGAATATTTTATAACGTTTGGCGTGATATTATGGCAAAAAGTTGGACAATAATTCCCACATCCGAGTCTATATATCAATATTCTTCGTATGAATTTAAATCAATTTAATCAATCACTACTGTTATTTGAATTTTGCCTTGTAAGGACAGTGACATTTTAATTTTTAAGTGATTATTTATACTCTTTTAAGTCGAGCTTAATGATTAATTCAGCTGATCACGGCTAGGGCTCGAGCTTCGGTCCTCGAAGCAACACAAATTTTGCCAGAACACTTAATGTACTGAGCCATTAACACACTTCCAAAACGATTGCGCAAAAACATGGGTATACCATTGAAGCAATTGTAGGTGTGTGGATTAATTATCCATCGCTACAACAAAAATCTGCTTTGAAAAGGACTGTTCCTAGAGTGAAGACAAATGTCGAACTTTGACAAATTTGAATTTAATTCGCATATGCAAGTTTCGCATTAGGGCGGAATACAATACAAGTTATCAACATACGACCTTTTTAAAGCCACATAGCCCGATATGCCTGATGAGCCGCTTAACCAACGGCGAAACGCGTTGCATAATGTTTGGTACTTAGATCATTAAGCTCAACTCGAAAGAGTATAAATAATCACTTTAAAAAATTTAGTCCATTAGACCCACCAAATATTAATTTATATTCAACAGAACATCCATACTTTTTCCTGAGTAGATCCCCTTTCCCGTGTATAAATGTTATATCTAGAGGGACCAGAATAACAAACAAAAATAATGCCATGTTCTGACGAGCACTCGAATAACATTGTTCGCTCTCACAATTACGTTCATACAACACTATTCTTAATTCATGTCATCAGAGCTTATTTTTCCAAACTTTTTATTATACCCTTCACCACACTGTGGTACAGGGTATTATGTCTTTGTGCATATGTTTGTAACAGGCAAAAATAATCGAGATAGACACATGGTTCCTTTTGAGAATATGCATAGAATCACTTTCTAAGTCGATTTATGCATGTCCGTCCGTCCGTCCGTCCGTCTGTCCGTCTGTCTGTCCATGTTAAATTGTAAACAAAGTACAGGCCGCATTTATTATCCGAATTGGATGAAAATTGGCACAGGTCACATATTCGGCCCAAGGACGAACCCTATTGAAATTGGGAAAAATCGGTTCAGATTTAGATATAGCTCCCATATATATATTTAACCGATTTAATGTAAACGGTCCCTATATATCTTTCGATTTGCACGAAATTTGGTACAGCCTAATCATTTAGGTCTAGAATGATGTCTGCCAATTTTCGTGAAAATCGGTTCAGATTTAGATATAGCTCCCATATATAGTTTCCTCCGATTTCATGTAAATGGTGCACCAAAGTCCCTATATATCCTTCGATTTGCAAGAGATTTGGCATAACGTACTGAAATGAGCCTAGAGTGATATCTGCCAAGTTTCGAGAAAATCGGTAGATTTCTATATAGCTCCCATATATAGTTTCGTCCGATTTAATGTAAATGGTGCCCCAAAGTCCCTATATATCTTTCGATTTGCACGAAATTTGGCATAACCTACTGAATTAAGCCTAGAGTGATGTTTGCCAAGTTTCGAGAAAATCGGCCCAGATTTAGATATAGCTCCCATATACAGTTTCGTCCGATTTCATGTAAATGGTGCACCAAAGTCCCTATATATCCTTCGATTTGCAAGAGATTTGGCATAACGTACTGAATTAAGCCTAGAGTGATGTCTGCCAAGTTTCGAGAAAATCGGTCCAGATTTCTATATAGCTCCCATATATAGTTTCCTCCGATTTCATGTAAATGGTGCACCAAAGTCCCTATATATCCTTCGATTTGCAAGAGATTTGGCGTAACGTACTGAAATGAGCCTAGAGTGATGTCTGCCAAGTTTCGAGAAAATCGGTCCAGATTTCTATATAGCTCCCATATATAGTTTTGTCCGATTTCATGTAAATGGTGCTCCAAAGACGCTATATGCCTTTCGATTTGCACGAAATTTGGCATAACGTACTGAATTGAGCCTAAAGTGATGTCTGCTTTTTTCGTGAAAATCGGTCCAGATTTAGATATAGCTCCCTTTTATTATAGATTGATTTTAAGTAATTGACGCACCAAGGAACCAATAGGCTGATAGGAACAAAACTTTCTGAAATTAGAACAACCTAACCTTTGACAAGTTTGTTTCAAATCGCTTAATATTTGGATAGAGCTTCCATATATATTTTCCCCCGGTTTCAAGTAAATTGGGCATCAAACTCCTCATGTTAGTCAGATTGACATCAAATTTTGCACAACTTACAAAATTTAGCATAGAATTACGTAGTTGCGTTTTCTAGAAGTACAGACATAGCCCAACGGATGACCTATGTATATTTGTTTGAAGTCGATTTACATACTTTATGGATATATCTAGGTAGATTCACATTTAAATAAATATCAACTATTTTAGTTCATCCAATTTCATTTTAATGGTCCTGTTGAATACACCCAAAGTGGTGAAGGGTATCATAAAGTCGGCCCCGTCCGACTTTACTACTTTCCTTACTGGTTTTTTGTTGTACACCAATATTTTAACATATTTGCGTGAATCACATATATATTAAAATAGAAAACAAAATTCTCTTTCTCCTGACTATAGTATGAACCCATATTTATTTACTTTTAATTTGTGTTTTACATTTTTTCTGAAAACATTGTTGTTTTTAAAATATTTTTATATTTTTTCAATACAAATGTCACATATAAAAAAAATTGTAGAATTTTTGTTTGGGGTTTCCCACATTTGTTTTTCGTTTTGTACGCTAATTAGAACCAAAAGGAAAGAAATGCATATTGCATTATGTAGATAACAAAATTTACATCCTACTGCATATATAAAAACTAGACATTTTGTTATTTTTCATTCATCATTTTCAATTTTAAGGAAAAAGTTTGAAAATTTTATAAATATTTTCAAGCTGTCAAAAATTATTTATTTTCGATAAATACTCTCAATTTTTAGGGATGGGACAAATTTCTTGGTTATTTAGAGAGTGATTCGATTTGAACAATGTACAATAGTCGTTGTTCGCTCAGAAAATTTTGTATGGGGAAATAAGTAATTACTTCATAATTAAGGGTCGAACAACGAATGAGAGAGCGAACAACGCTCGTCTGTACATGGCATAAATTTGCAGGTCATTTGATCCCACAAATATTTAGTCTGTTCCAGTACTTTTTAATAGTAAATCTAGGAAAAGGGAAACATTTCAAAATTGCTCTCAGAGTACAAAATAATTTGAAAAGTTCGGGAACGCTAATCCTGTAAATATTCCAAAATTTGATGGCAATACTTCAAAATCAACATAACAGCCAATCAGAAGTAGGCATTCCTGTTTACCATTTTTACTCGACCAAATTTCTCGAGTAAAAAGTTTACAAAGAGAACGTCATTTTGTTTTGTGCTCTCTTACATTGGAGTCAACATTTTACCAGTTTTGTGGGTTGAAGAACGGTTTTCGTGTAAAAAGTTGCAAAACATGTAAAATGAGTAGAATCTTTTAGGTTCTGGAACGGAACTATTATTACCCAAATGTTTCCAAATTTTTAATTTGTTATGCCCGGCAACACTGCAGAAGAAGCCACAAACTACATAGTTGATTTTTTGTTATTCAACTCAAGCTGTCTTACCTCGTATTGTATTGTACCATGCTATGGGCTACGTTGAATAATTGTACAATGAGTGTATAAAATTATATTAAATATATTCTAATTTAATTGTTTTAAAGAATTATTCAATCCTATTGGAGAAATAAACAATTGTCACATTATTTCAATTAAAAAGTCTACAAAAAAAAAAAAAAAATAATCGACGCAGTAATACAATTTCGATATTCGTTTCGCTTCTTTGTCCCATCCATGTCGATTAATCGATAAACCGAAAGTCGATCTAGGCATCCCTGCAAAAAGACGAACAACGAAAAAGAATAGTAAAGGAGAATTGAATTCGTGTGTGCAGTCATTAAAAGCGCGTAAATTTCTCGATAAATCATAGTTATTTTAATAAATACAATTCAAATAAATATATTTCAATGAAATATGTAACCGTTACTGTGTAAAACACAACAAATTGCTAGTGTACAGTAAGAAAATCGCCACGAAATAGCCAAATCATTGCTACAACGCGACGGTTCTGCAAAAAACACGAAGAAATCCCCCCAATCGAACGAATGGCGTTTTCGCTCTGGTCTTTTTTTTTCTTCTTTTTTTTAAATAGTGCCACAGCGCACAACGGAGATGCAAGCAAAGGTGGCAAGAAGATTTAAAAAGAAAATCGCGAGCAGAAATTTATATATTTTATGTGAAAAAATAGAATAAAATAGCAACAAAAAGCTCGTCGGGGCCCCCAAAACACAATTTATGCAACTCGAGGCATACATCCAACCGCACATATACAAATCATGTGTGTGGCAGTAGTGCAGCAGCAGTCAGTCAGTAGTGAGTGAGTGTGGTGTGGTGGTAGTATAGATGTTGATGATGATGTAGAAGGAAAAATGTTAATAGTTTGAGAAGCCCCCAGAAATACGAAAAAATAATTCACAAAATACCAAAGAGATAGTCGTGGTAGTAGTAGTGTTGGTGGAAGTGTGGTATATTTGTAACCAAAAAAAAAAAGAATAAAAGAAAAAATAAAACAACAAAAAAGAAACGTGAAAATATAGCTGCTGCTTGTTACTATTGTGTAAATGTGAGATTGTTCTATTCAACTAAAGTGGAAGAAGTACAACAGCAGCAATAAAAAGTGAAAAATTCGTTGCATGTTGCCCAAAAAAAATTGTGTGTACATCTAAAAACGACGACTGGAATTTAATTGGAAATATATATTTTTTTTAATTTAGAAATGTGAAAATTCCGAAAGGAAGCAAGCAAGAGAAGCTACTACTCTAGGAGAGAAGAGGAGAATATTGTGTGCAAAAGGAAATCCAAGATAAAAGTATAAGAAAAACACATAATTCACAAGAAAAGTCAATAATAAGAAAAATAGTATATTGAAACGACGACGACGACGAAGAACTACTAATAAGAGAAAGAAGAAGAAGAAGAGGAGGTATTCACTCATACACACATACGTATATACATATATTCACTTGCACAAAACGTAAAAGAGAAAGAATAGCGCGCAATCGGCGGTTAACGTACCCCATCCGACGACATCACACACACACACGCATAGCACAATACAAAAGAAAAAATAGTTGAAAGCAAGAAAATAAAAAAAAAAAACAAAAAACAAAATAAAAAATATAATAAGAATACAACAAAAAAGTAGCAGAGCGAGCTCCCTCCTCGGTACAATGACGACGTCGACGACTACCACGACAACAATATTGGGATACATTCGTTCAAAACGTTGAAATGAGTATGTGTGAGAGAAAGAGAGAGAGAGTGAGATACAGAGTGATAGAATGCGAAGTGATGGTACGCTATAAACGCGAGTGTGAGTGCATGTGCGCTGGTGTGTGCCCATAGCAAACAACACCAAAAGAAAAATAAGAATAAATAAAAAAACGAAAATGAAAAGATGCAAGTTTATTTGTGTGTTCTGCTCTCCATAAAACGAACAAGTAAAAAAAAGAGAAACGACAAACGAAATGTGTGGTGTTTATTAAAAACCAACAAGAAATAAACATAAAGAATATCACGAGTAACATAAAGAGAGAGAGAGAGAGAGAAATGATAAATTACAATAACTAACAACTAAATGAAAAAATAAAACAAAATATAAAGAAAAGAAAATATAAATATATTCATTGCAACACCAGAAAACCATGCAATAATAGTGCAAACGCCACAACAACAACTAAATATTACAAAAGAATAGAAACAAACAACAAAACAAAAAACAAGAATGTGAGAAATAAAATAAAACAAACGCAAGAAATTCAAATTCATAAAAGAAATCAAACAAATCAACTAAACACAACCAAACACACACACGCAAAATGGATACAACAAATACAACGGCTTCAGCAGCAGCAGCGGTGGTAACGGCAGCGGCGGCGTCTGCTGCCGATGTTGCAGCAACAACAAAAGCAAAACAATTGGATTTTGAAATACTGGTAATTAAAACTTATACGAATGGCATAATGAAATGAAAAAAAAACGAAAAATAACAACAACAGCAACAACAAACAACCAACCATTCATTTTCATTAAGTTTTTTGTTGTTGTATGTTTGTTTTCTGTTTTATCTGTTTTTTACCATCTTCGTTCAAAAACCTTAACACAACAGACAACAAAGTCAAATGGATATTTTTAAGGTCGGCGTCATTAATGATCCGGCTTTTTTTTTGTTCTTTGTGTGACAGTTCTGTCAATGCATGCTGGCTTTTCCATTAGAAAACTTTTATAAGAAAAGAACTGAATGGGAAATGGTTTAAAATATGCGAATATTTTGAAAATATTAACAAAAAAATATAGTAAATTGATATTTTATTAACAGAAATATAGAGAAAAAAGAGAGAGGTAAATGTATATTCCGTTACCGGTATTAAACATTTGTATTGATTTTGTAACTATTTATGGAATCATATGGTCTGTTCCCGAACTGCAAGAATCTACTAATTTTTACTATTTTCTTCGATATCATAATATGTTATCGTAGTAAAAAATGGTACATGCAGGTTCTGGAACAGACCAATTTTGTGTTTTCGGAAACAATTTGATAGCCAAATAATAAAAGTATAAGGTGAAATATTTTTTATGCCCTACACAACAATATTGTTAGGTTATTATAGCTGGTGTGTCCCAAGAGTTTGTAACGCCGCAAAATATTACTCCTAGACTCACCTTTTAGTATGTCGATCTTCAAATATCGACCAACTGAGTCGATCTAGACATCTGTAATGTAGTAGAAACGATCAGATTTTCAATAAAAAAAGTTCCAGAGATAGGAATTTTTACTCTAATTATGGGTATATAATATTAAAATGGTTATGGAATAGAGACAGGAGCTGGTTATCTTAAACCGTTTGGAAGACACAGTCAAAAATTATGGGTATATAACATTAAAATGGTTATGGAATAGAGACAGGAGCTGGTTACCTTAAACCGTTTGGAAGACACAGTCAAAAAACATTTTTTTGACCTTTTTTCCTATAGGTTATACTACACTTTGAGCTTGTTATTTGTAACTGTGTCTCTTTTGGATTATAAGATATACAAATACATGGGATTCGATTAGATTTCAGTAAAATTTGATCGAAAGCCCATGAGTGTCCGTCTGTATATAATTATTTGTAAAATAACCCCACAGTTATGGACCAATCGTCAGGAAATTTGGCCCCCACGGCCAAACCGAACCGACTCCTATTGTTTTTTTTTTTTTTTTGTAATTATGGACTAATATTTAGGGGATCGAATGGACCAAAAATGTTTTTTTTTTTTTTGTTTTTCTGGTCGCTATAGAGCCCAAAATTATGGTCCGAACATCAGGAAAGTTTACACGAAAATGGGGATCTGATCAAATAAGCATAACTTTTTTAATAATAATCGGTCAATATAAAGCGGTTTAAATGGATCCAGACTTTTGTTTGAAAAACGAAAAAATGGCCTTTATTGATGTATGAACTCGGATATGGGAATTATATTTTACAGGAGTCGTATCTATTCTTACATTGTTCAGTAATACCATTATTAAAACCATTATCACACCGAATGGCATCATTTACGCCTTCCTCAATAGATTTTACATGAAGTACCGGTTATGGTCAAAGATGACGTCTATAGTTTTCGATAGAGATCAGATTATATTTAGGTGATGAAATAGACCGATAATTTTTATGTCCGTTTTTCTAACCTCAACAAATCGTATCAATCACATAGAAGGGGACCTTGGCAACGAACAAATAAACTCTTTTGACGATAATCAATCAATATTAGGTTGACCTAGGGAAAAACAAATCCATTATTTTTATATGAACTATAGGTATTTATTTAACATGCTTCGGAATGTCTGATTTTGTTGTATGATATTTGCCACTTTAAAGGTAAGTTCATAATACCCCTCTAATAGAAGTTCTTCTCTCTATTTGCAAAAAACTCTAGTTGTCGATTTTAACAATCCTTCCTGGATACCAATTTTTTGTCATTAAAGAAATTTAGCAATGCAAGAAAAAAATGGTAATCGCTTGGTGTCAAGTCCGGACTGTTTGGCGGATGCATTATAACTTCCCAATCAAGCTCCAGAAGTTTCTGGCGTGTTACTGTAGATGTGTGTGGCGTAGCGTTGCCCAGGTGGAACACGACACCTCTCCTGTTGGCCATTTCTGAGCGTTTCTGAACAATTGTAAATGGTTTAAAAGTGTTTTACGATCGATTTTTAGCTCCTGCGCGATGTTACGATTGCTAACATGTCGAATTCCAGTCCCATACATTTGAAACCATAAAATGGCTAACACTGTTTTTTTTTTTTTTTGAGATACCAAATTTCAATGAAACCGTATGTTTTTGGGAGTAGTATTATATGCCTCTACTCAGAACGGCAAATTATTGTCTCTTTTTTAAGTAAATACAAATACAAAGGTTATTTTCAACAGACCGGTCCAACGTTCAAAATTATCACCCGATAATTTTTCGAATTTCGGATCAAATGCTGAATATTTTTAGAACTTCTGAAAAAGTATCCGAAAATCTTTCTATTTTCTCTGCTTATTTTCGAATGTTCCTTTAGAGTTTTGTCTGAAATTTTGCAGAAAATCGAAAATTCTCATAAAATTTCCCTTTATTTCTCCCGAGTTCTTTTTTACGAATTCGTTTTAGAACTTCTTAAAAAATATCCGAAAATCTTTCCATTTTCTGCCCATTTTCGAATGTTCCTTTAGAGTTTTGTTCGAAATTGTGCAGAAAATCGAAAATTCTCATAAAATGTCCCTTTATTTCTCCCGAAACTCGAATGTTCCTTCCGATTTTTTTGTTTTTTGGGCGACAAAACTTTTCAAATTCATGGGCACCTTCAAACAATTTTGTTCCAATATCAGTACAAATTCGGCATCCGAATCGGAGTATCGTTCCGAGTTCGGAAAAAAATCAAAACAAATTGTTAGCTGGGTAAGCATAGAATTTTACATTGATCAGGAATATAAATATATAGGGTTTCAGAAAATATTTATGGTATTGTAATAGAAGTGGCACCACACTACACAAAGATTCTAGTATATTGTCGGACAATCCGCATCAGAAGTCGTGAAAAATTATTGCAAGTAAATTTTGTCGAAATTGATTTTTAAGACACTCTAAATCCCCATCAAGCAAAACCTTGGCAAGCGTTCTCTCTTTGAGCGTAATTTGTGTGAAAAAGAGCGTAAAAACGAGCCTCTGCCTAGGCGTGATCTAGACAACACAACACATTGTCGTACATCAGAATGTATTGAATACGTTTTTGCTTTAAAATTTTTAACTTTCCAATTTAAATGTTAAATGACGCCAAGAAACACATCTTTTGAGCGAGCGCTGAGCAGCTAGATTTTTTGATCAAATATTACCGATCCTCAAAACTTTTTTTCGGCGAACTCTTCATGCAAATTTTTGATTTCTTTACAAATTATGATGGTCGATTCAGATTGTGGTGGTGGTAAAATCAAGAATTTCTTCAACAAATCCGATCGAGGATATTTGTTTTCTTATGTGTTTGAGATTATAAAATACCGTTTTTGTAATATTATTTTAAGTTGTAAACTTATTTTTCTCTAAAAATAAGAAAAAAAATATAAAAATGTTTTTTTTTTTCATATTTCCCATACTTATCGATTGTTGCAAAATACATCACACATCCCCTAATAACGGCGGCTCAGCATTTAACTCTCTTTGCAACGGCTTTGGGATCATTGCTTCTTCTTCTTTCTCCTGTTTCTTTTATTTTACCGTTGGCTTGTTGTTTTATATAATTGAGTTGTATTTAATTAAACATAATTAAGGAAGTAATCGCTATAATACATTGTAAATTATTCAACATCATGGTATGGTGTGGAATGGTGCGATGATGATGATGGCGATATGTTTGTTTGTCAGTCAGTCAGGCAGTCAGCCATACCCACCAACCCACCGTTTGTATGTTTGTTTATTGGTTTGTCTATCTGACGGCGGCAGCGTTGTGTTGATACCTTAATTCCAATTTTGCTGCTCTTCTTCTTCTTCGCGTTTGCCTCGTTCAGTTGATGGGGGGGTTTTTTGTGAGGCGCGCTCTACTTGCACTGTGTTTTTTTATTTAGTTTGTTTTCTTTTTTCTATTCGTTTTGTGTTTTATTTTTTGTTTTCTTATTGTGTATTGCTATGTGAACGAACAGCAGAGCAGCGTGCTGTTTGTGTGTGTGTATGATGTGTAAGTGAGTGTGTGCATGTGAATGTGTGTTTTATTCGAACAGCGTGTATGGGAGTGAGTGTGTGTGTGTGTGTGCGTTGTGTGGAAAGAGGAGGAGTACAGTTAAGATAAATGTTGTTGAAAGAATAAAAAAAGCAGACAAAAACAACAAGAACAAAAGACGAAACAACAAATCTTAATTAAATGGATCGCATTCGTTCCTTCACCCGCCCGACCGCCAGCAGCCAGTACCTCCGTCGCCGTTGTTTTTTTAATTTCTTTTTTCTGTTGTTGTTGTTTACAACGACGTTTATCTAATTTACTCTTTATTTTACGATAGCTGGTATTTGGGACATCGTCGTTTAGAACCAGTATTTTTTTTATTATTCGTTGCGTTTTTTTCTTCTTCTTCTGTTTTGTATTGGATATGGACGGCGGATGGTTGCTTGGATGAATATGAGAAAATACTAGTTTTTATTTTATATTGTTGTTGTTTATGTTGTATAAAGAAAATATTGGTGTATTGTTGTTGTTGATTTTCTTGTTTATTAATGTGTTATATGGCCATGACAAAAACAAAAAAAATGTAAACAAATAAAACTATGACATTTTATTAAATGTTTTATGTATGCATTTTAGCAAATAAACCTGGTTTAGAAACAAAAATATGTTTTTTTTTTTTTTGTTGAGGTGGGAATATTTTACACCTCCAAATATTCACCTGAGACCCCATAAATTGTAGCGTAAGTGCACCAATAGTCG